TCCTAGGGCCCTGCTGGGGGCTGCCGACCCCGGGGCCTCAAGTGCCTGTTTCTCTGTTTCTCTTGCAGGAGGTGGAAGCGCTGGTTTCCCGCTGGAACCTCTTTATCAACGTGGGAGGCTTCTTCGTTGGGCTCTTCTCCGTGACGCTCTTCGGGCCATGGAGCGACAGCGCGGGCCGCCGTCCGGCGCTCGTCCTGCCGGCGCTGGGTATGGCCATCCAAGCAGCCATCTATCTCCTCGTCATGTACCTACAGCTCCACGTTGCCTTCATGCTCCTCGGCCGCCTTTTGAGTGGCTTCCTGGGAGACTACAACCTCATCCTGGCCAGCTGCTTCGCCTACGTGGCCGACACCAGCGACAAACGCGCACGGACGTTTCGGGTCGCCATCCTGGAGGCCTGCCTCGGCGTCGCGGGCATGCTGGCCAGCATCGGGGGTGGCCAGTGGCGCAAGGCACAGGGGTACATCAACCCCTTCTGGCTGGTGCTCGCTGCCAGCCTCGCCGCCGCTCTCTACGCTGCGTTCTGCCTCCAGGAATCGGTGAAGCAGCAGAAACCAGCCAAGCTGTTGACCCTCAGTCATTACAAGGCTGTCTACAGGCTGTACACAGCCCCAGAACACATGAGCTCCAGGTGGAAGCTCGCCCTTTACTCCTTAGCTTTCTTTCTTATTGTCACGGTACATTTTGGGGCCAAGGACCTCTATGTTTTGTACGAGCTTGGCTCCCCTCTCTGCTGGACCCCAGACCTCATCGGGTACGGTTCGGCCATTAATTACTTGGCTTATCTGAGCAGCCTGGGAGGGCTGCGGCTGCTGCAGCTCTGCCTTGAAGACACCTGGGTGGCAGAGATCGGACTGTTCTCCAATATTTCTGGACTGGTGGTGATTTCTCTTGCAACTACAACACCACTGATGTTTACAGGTGATTGCCAGTTCTTAAATCCCCGTATCTCAGGCTCTGAGCTTGGAGATGGCAGGAGATGCAGGAGGGCAGGGTGCTTCTGGGAGTTCAGGCATGTGGAGGAAGTTCTGCCTCGGTTTCAGCCTGTGTACCAACAAAACTGTGGCTTGCTAACAGCAAAGTTGGCCAAACATTGAAGTTGGAAGTGCAACCATATAGTTCCTAGAGGTGTATTACACTGCAGAGACAGACTGAAGTGCGTTGTGAAGGGCAGGAGGGTGAACTGGGTCAAAATATAGCAGGGAGAAGCTGCCTGGAGCTACAGATTTGTGGGATTGGCTTTGGAGACTTTGTTTTTCAGCTGAGCTTTCCCTAATGTGCTGTATCTTGCTCACAGGTTACGGGCTTCTCTTCCTTTCCATGGCAGCCACTCCAGTCATCAGAGCCAAGCTCTCCAAGCTGGTCAGTGAGACGGAACAGGGTAAGGAATCACCGCTCTGTTCAAGCCAGGTCCCAAAACACTGTCTCATGGAACACTAAAACTAAACTGCTTTGGGAGGTTAGGATGTCCCTGGCTCCTTTGCACCTTTGTGCCCCTACATTCACCCTCAGGCCCAGGGTACCATTTTATTTTTTCAGAATAATTGTCGGTTTTCATCCATTTAGACTGGCTACATTTTCAAGTTGAGGGTGAGAGAGGGAAAGCAAGATGAAAATCATTGCCCTCAAGCTCGGGAATCATTCATTCATTCATTCGTTTCCAAAACTTTTACTAAGAGCAAGGGTTAAAATGGATTATATAATGAGCAGAAGGCAGTGATTTCCCTGACCATGATTCTTTTCTGTAGATCAGTAACAGTGGGATGAAACCTGGTGTTGTTAGAGGGTTATATCATTGACCATGGTGAAAGATCATGGATAACCCATAGGAGGAGCATATTTGTCTTTCCTCCTGTAATTTTTTTCGTTGCACTTGCTGTTAAATATAGCTCAGGAATTGCCTCTGCAGGCAGACGGGAGGAGGGGATCGAGGTGGGAAAGGTCACTTTAGGGAATTCATGTTTCTAACTTTAGAATGAAGGTGGTGCACACTTGATACCAGATTTATGATGCTAAATCTATAAAATCCAGTCTTATGCTGAACTTAATGTTTAACAAGCGATAAGATGTGCTTGGCAGTAAGCAGATCAAGATAGCCCTGTCTAAAGCATTTACAATCCAGCTGATATATAATATATCTGGTCAGCTCTGGTGATACAAGTTCTGGAGGTCAGCAAGCTGGTCCTGGCTACAGAGGAGCAGAGCTGGACAGGTTTGACCTGCCAGGCTGGCACGGTGTGCCTGATCTCTGCTCCCAGCTCTTGCTCACTACGTTTGACAATACAGACACCAGTTTTCTGATGGGAAGTGTAAACCCTTGGAAAGATTCACAGAATCCCACTGAAGGTGATGGAAAGATGTTTGCAGGCAGGGTTGTCTCACCGTTCACCTCTTAAATATCTTTTCCAGGTGCTCTCTTTGCCTCTGTTGCCTGCGTGGAAGGGCTGTGTTCACTTGTGGCTACAGGAGTGTTCAACTCCCTCTACCCTGCCACCTTGCACTTCATGAGGGGATTCCCGTTTCTCTTCGGGGCTATAATTCTTCTTATTCCAGCAGCTATTATTGGGTAATTTACCTCAAATTTTCAAACTTTGCCATAGTGAAGTATAATATGAAAAATACTATTTACTCAGGATAGAGGCTTGCAGTTTTTAAGGCATATTTGCAATTATTCTTATGAGAGGGTGTTTAGTGCCCCGGTAACCAGAGGTCCATTTCTTCTGGCATCTGGACCCTAGTGATAAACCTCCAGCACAAGTGAGGTAGCTGAGACATTCAAAGTCTCACTCCACCCTTTAGAGTGGAATCCAAAATCTGGAGTTGGATTTGAAAGTCCTCCTTTATGGAAGAGATGGAGCTCTCTTAGCAGTCTCTCTTCCTGTTGTTTCTCTACTAATTAAAGCAGAAGTGTCATGATAGAAAATGAAACCCCTGGTTAGTCCTGCGAGAGAGAATGTGTTGGGATTTGCGGTAGAAGTGAAACAGCTCCTGGCAGGGTCATTTTGTTCTGTTCCTTTGAAACTTTTAAAACTCCCTTCATTCAGCGACGTCCCAGTGTGCCTTCGTAGGCTCTAACTGTTCTTTCTTTCTTAGGTGGATAGAAATCTGGGACTCAAAGCGGGACTACAATGACTTCTCAGAAGCTTCCCTGTCCCCGGCAGATGGCTGAGCAGCAGCTTGGCAACAAGGAATTGGGAAGCTGGGCAGAGTCCATCTGAAGACTGCTCTTTATTCTTCCCTTGAAGGACACTTTTCTTGTCCTTACTAAATTTTAAATGCCAAATAGTTGGAAATCCTCGCTCTGACTACCATTAGGAACTCGATTTGCAGATGTGAATGCCTCCTCGCTGTTGTGTTGGCTCATCTGTCAGAGAAAACCCAAGAGACCCAAAAGCCAATCAAGAGTAAAAGCCATTGTTGGCCATTTGCAGGGCGGGTTAGTGGTTTGGGGTTTGGTGGGGAGGGAACGGTCTGTGGCATGCTTTTAGTGGTGAGTGGACTGAATTCTGGTTTAATTGCCAAACATCTTCCCCTCTGAGTACTACAGTGTGCAGCAGATGAGCTGTTGGTGTGGGTGAGGCCCAGGCCAAAGCCTGCAGAGCAAGAAGTACCCAACAGCGTGCTGCTGAGGGGGGAGATCTGTCTTTTATCTGCCAATAAAAGTCATATGAGTGTTGCTTTGTAAGTTAGAGGCCTCCCAGGGAGAGAGTCTCATGCATGAAGCACTTGTAGTGAGGAGTGCCAGTGGTGTCCTGCCTGGCTGGCTGCAGCTCAGCCCGGGATTTCAAAGGTGCTTTCAAGAAATAATAGCTGGTGTGAGGATACTAAGGTGCAAATAGGTGCCTTAATTGGCAGTTGCCAAAACTGGTGAAGTTAAGGCTAAAACTGACAAAATTGGGCCTCCCTAGTCACTGACCCTGACACTGAATTATATATTTGAGGCCCCAGCTGTTTTAAGAGGACCTTGGTGTCATGTGTGCTTATGGCAGAGCCAGGAGCAGTCCTTCCTCATCAGTACCCAGCACTGTTGGGATGGGCTGGTGTGGGGACAGGACTAGTGTCTTTGGAGATAAAATATTTTGTTATGTTTGTGTCAGTGACCTTGCTTCTGCTGCCCTTCTTGGAATATGTTGATGCCAGCAAGCAAACCTCTGTGTCCTGGGTATCCATAATTATTCTTTTGAAAGCATTAAGCATTATTTCCTCAATGTTGTTTTCTTCAAACTGCCATAAACCAGCAGTTCTGTGTACACTGCACTGCACACACTGTTCAGATGCATGCAATAATGTCCTTGACCGTGGAATTGCTTAGCAGATATGTTGCTTTCAGAATGAATAAAACCTCCATTCTCTTTTATGGTTCATAAAAGGATAACTTTTCTGGTACAGCTGTTGATATTATTTGTCCTTGCCTCATTCTCTGCTTCTATGAAGAAGACTCTGTAGTGAAGAAGCAGCAGCAGGAAGTTACCTGCCTTGTGAAGAAAGAGCATGTAGGAGTCCTGAGTCAGGAAAAATGCAGGTTTGGGACTTGCAAGCAGCCAAAGCTTGTTTTTTCTGAACACTGAAGTAAAGCTTGTGGGGGTGTTTAGCCTGTGCAGTAAACATATAATGCTTGTGTACGGCTTTGCTCCCTTTTCATTAGGAGTTCCTGGTAAAAGCAGGAGAACGGGGAGGAGAAAAGCAGGAGGTGGAGGAGGAGGGAGGCTTTAAGAACTTGGTGTTACGCCACTTGATGTGGGTGGTTATGCCAGTGGACATAGGCAGGGGTTACTTGTCTGACCGACGTGGCTGAGCCCAGAATTACCCTCCCTGAGGAACAGGGCATGCTGTGAGCGTTGCGTTTGATCTTTGTAGCTGAACTGACGGTGAAGTCTTCTCTACCAACAGACTCCGTGGACACCAGTGCTAGCAGCTGCTGGGCATTGTGCAGTGAGGTGAGACTTGGATACTGGCTCTGCTTCCCTCCTTGAGCCAGTGTCCTTGCAAAGCAGAAATTCAATAGGAGCTGTTATATTCTATTAAAAGAAAAAAAAAATTAAACCAAAGTTTTTCTAGGCTCTCCACCAAGAACTACAGCCACGAAGCAAATACATGATCCGTGCATCGTGATTGTGGGCAGCAGGCCCCTGGGGATGGAGTGAGCTACATCAGTCCATGCAAAGATGAGCATGAAGTGTGGGTCCCCAGCGAGAATGGTGCCTGGAGAATGTCAGTTCTGCTGTCCCTCCAGAGGATGAGAAAGCGTGACAGCAAGAGAGCAAGTGTGAGAAGGCTGCAGGGAGAGAAGCACATCACACAAACAGAAAAGAGGTGGGGATTTAGAGTATAAACCAGATTTATTAATAGTATCTGATAGAACAACTTTAAACACTTTCAGACATGATATGGCAAAGGAATAAGGAAGGGTGAGAACAGAAGGATTCACCTCCTTGAGAATCTGGAAGGGGTTGGGTGTGGGATGTGTCATCAGAGCAGGGCGGGTTCATTAAGGTGAAGATAACTGAATGATGGGGAAATGGGCAAAGTCACAGTCTGGGCAGCTGGGGCATGAGATAGGATCTCATTGCAGGTGAGACACCTAGGCTGGAGAGGACAAATAACTCTTCTCTGGACTGAATGGTGGGTGAGGAGGTTAATTGCTCAGCAGCTCCTGGGAAACAAGAGGCGATAGCCTTACTGTGTATTACTGTAGGGAGAAAAATCCTGAGGACTGTTTGTGTGAGACTCCTTCAGTGGCCACGGAGGCCTTGACACTCAATCAGTTCCTCAAGCCTTTTCCCTGAAGCAGCTCACAAGTGACTTTCATCCTTTGGCAGATTCACCTTTGGGCTCACCTGCTGGTTGCCTCATGCTTAATCTGGAGATTAGATAGATTCTATTTCTGATGAGTGCTGGGCAGATAGAGCTATTAACCTTTCACTGGAGAACAAAGATGCCATTAACTGTGAGCTGATAAGAAATATCCATAAAGCTGTAATTAAGCACCAGAATTTAACTCTTTTTTTTTTCTTTTTTTTTTTTTTTTTTTTTTTTTTTTTTTTCTCAAATGTTCATGGATCTAAGCCAAAAGGAAATGTGTTTGTGTTTCTGCCAGTTAAGGCAGCAGCAAGGCTTCAGGGAGAGCCGGGATAAGGACAAGGTGGCTGAGGCTCCTCATTACCTTCTGAAAGTGTTGAGTTCTCTTGAGCAGGGACAGGCAAAGGACCTTGCTTCTTCTGAAGCATGGTGCATCAGCCTGGTTTCCCGGCCGTCAGGGCAGGCTGGTGTTTCCCAGGCATGGCTTGCTCTTCCTCCTGTGTGTCCTCTGAACAAGGATGTCTTTTTGCATTATTCACTTTGCTTTGCATCAAAAAATTCAAGCTGAGGTAGGAGCTGCAATTTCTGGTCCTAATTGCAAAACAGCAAGTTGTTAAGAGCCTGCTCACCCTCCGAGCAGGTGAGAGATGCAGGAAAAGGCTGGGAGTGCAGAATCGAGGGGAGGTGTGTCCGGGTGCCCAAGGTTCCTCACCTGCAGGGTCAGCAGCAGGACCTGCTGGTCCTGCTCACATCTGGCAGCCTCCGCCTGCCCTTTGCATCGACTTAACTCCTTCCTGGTATTTCGAGGTGAGTAGGTGCAAAAAGACCTGGTGAGCGTTGAGAAGAGGTTGGTAGAAAGAACCAAATGCCACTTGGTGTTGCACCCAGCAGAGAGGAGGGACAACCCTGAGCCCGAGGAGCTCAGCCAGGGCTGTCAGCAGTGAGATACTACGGAACAGACCACGGCTCTGCTGTGGAGCACCAACAACAGAATAAAATACAGTCAGTGTGTGATAACTCCACAAGTACAATACAGCAATTAACATCTTCCAGGTCTGCATGGATATGTGTTCTCCAGAGTCACAGTCCAGCTTCCTGTGCCCTATAAGTCTAGAGCTGATAAAGTGGCAAAGCTGAGACATCAGATACAGGGAAGGACATTGTTTTAAAAGCAATTCTCGCAAAGACCCTGCTGAAACTTTACGTGATCTAAACCCAAACTTCTATCACCAGAGTTAAGAGCACAAAGTGGTTTTGCAGCATTAGGAAGTTAAAGGCCCTCAAAGAGGAAGCGAGCTCGAGATAAAGGGAGGTTACTGGGAAAGAGAAAGCTTCTGCTGAGCCGTTTAGAAGCTTCTGTGTGTTATCTTTCCCAAACACGGGGGTTTCGTTAGAGCTTAGCTTTTGTTTGCGCTTTCCTGCTCTCAGCTTCTGACCGCAACGATATTCCCATGGCACCCAGCAGAGGCCATACCATCCTTATGGACCGTTCCCTCTCAGCTGCTCTTCTCCCTCACGTGTCCTCTTGCGATGTACCCCTCACCACTCCCCCAGCTTGTGGTCTTCAGAAGATCCTTCCTCTTCGGAGATGATTCTGGGGGAAGCTGCAGCCATTTTTGCAGGGGTCTGGACAGTTTTGGTCTCCCTCACACCCCTTGCATTGCAGAAGGTGTAGCCTGCATGTCCTGCCATGCCGGGGGAAGATGTGGAAGACAACTTGTCCATCCCAGAGTCCACCCTGGCTTGGCTTGCCAGGCACCATACAAGTGAGTACTGGCCTTTTAGCTTGCATTTGGAGGGTGAAGGGGGGCTAATGAGCCAAGGCCTCATCTCAAGCCAAGGTACTAAGATGGGGGAAAAATTCTAAAGGGAAAATTTTGGGCCCACAAGTCACCTGGGAAGTCTCTGGAGGAGATGAGGTGCTGGTTCTAGGGCTGCCCCAAGGAGGGCAAGCAGTCCAGGCCATTCTCCGACCCAGCTGAGGAGTCCCGGGAGGAACGGCCCTGGAGAAAGCGGATGATTTTGTCGATTGTGGCCTCCTGGTACTCGTGGGACCACCTGTGTTTGAGGGGAAAATCTGAGTTAATTTTTCCATTGTGCAAGATGCCGTGAGACAGCACTTGAGTCGGGAGCCGGGGAGACCCCCTTCCTCCACCCCAGCTCTCCAGGAGTGCCCTTTCCTCCCACGGGAAGTGGAAGAACACTGGATGCTGCAGCAAAGCCCTTTCCCTGTGCCCTGCCAGGCTGGATGGCTACAAGCAGGTTGGGATGCCAGCCTGGACCTCTGCTGCATGGATGGTGAGAGGAACCCAGGCGAGCTGTCCCTAGCTGGGGCAAGAGGATGAGTGTCCTCCAAGGGGCAAGGGGGTGGAGACCTCGGTTACCCAGAAGAACCCCAAGCACAATAACAGCAGAAGGGTTATGGTGGGGACCTTTGCTCCCTTCATGGTCTGGAGTCCCTGAGCTGACTCACCTCTCCTTGGCCCATTCTGCCTCCCTCATCTGTTCCTCCCTTTGTTCCTTGTGCTCTTTGCTACTGCTTATGCAAGCCATTCTCTCCAGGTGTCAAGGAACCTCATGGCACGTGTTCCTCTTACTTACTTGATACCATTAAATTTCAGGACAGCCCTCATGTCCTTGGGAAGTGTTTCTGGGTCTGGCCACTCAAAATGGTCTGTAACAGGCACAATGTTCTTTCCAGAGTTCAGGGCTGTCACAATCTCCTGCAGGAACATGTGAGTGCTCAGGCTGTGGCGCAAGTTTACCCACCGCCAGCCCCATCCAGCTCCAACATTCACCTGATGGCATCTCCTACCTTGTGCACCCAATCCTTGCACTCGGGGTCTCCCATGCATTTATCCAGCGCGTTTGGCGAGAGGACCAGCACGAAATTGCGGGCACTCATGACGCTCTGGATCAGCTTGTCCTCAAACTTCCCTGCCTCCAGCTTCTCCACATCGATGAACACGCTGAAGCCGTGCAGCTGCAGGTGGACCTTCAGCAGGCTGGTGGGCAAGAGAGGACAGCACCGTGAGGAGAGCAATGGCCAGCGCCCGGGTTTCATGCACTCTCCCACCACATTGCCCAAGACATGGTGAGACAGAGGGGCAGTGAACAGCCTTCCACAGGGAATGTCATGGTCCTGGAGATGCCAGCTGCCAGCCCAGCCTGCTCACAGGTGTCTGGACCCACGCAGAAAACACGAGGAGCAGGACATTAACTCCCCGCTGTGATCTCCTACAAGCACAGCAGGGAAAAAGAGGGACAAGGTGGCAGTGGCAGGACTGGGACAGGACTGTCCACCATGCAGCTCGTGGCACTTGCTGTCCCCACTTGCACTGCAGCTTTTGGCAGCCTCTCCCTGTTGCAGCCTGCAGCTCTCCTGCCTCCACGCTCTTCCCATGCCTCATCACCAGCCTTCACTCTGGGCTTCAGCCCAGCACCATAAGGTTGCCCCCAGGACTCACCTGGCCAGCTGCGACCCAGTGCTCCTCCGGTAGCTGATAAACACATCAGTCCCGTTGGATGCAGTTTGCAGCGTTATAGGGGAGTGAAGCATTTCTAGGCAGAGCAAACAGCAACCAAAAGTTAGAAGGACCCAACAACTCATCCCAAACAACCCTCCGTACTCGCCCCAGCTCGCCGGCTCCAGCGCAACGAGCAGCAGCAGCAGAGGACCCTCACCCCTTGCAGCGGTGAGGATGCGGACGCGGTGGAAGCCCGTGTGGATGTGGCAGTCCTCCTGCAGCTGCTGCTCCGTCACCCGGTGCAAGAAGTTGCGGTTGATGCCGCACGTCAGCAGGTTGTAGGTGTACTGCCGGAACTTGGGGTCGATGCTGCCCAGCCAGTCGGCCAGGTTGCTGCGGTCGCAGGTGGAGTAGTTTGCGAAGGTCTTCAGCTCCGTCAGCTCCCGGAAAAACCTACCGGAGAAACAAACAACAACGTGGAGTGGGGAGGGGAGGCTGCTGGACCAGACAGGATCTAGAGACATCTTTTATCTGTGCAAGAGAGAGAGTGCAGCTACGTGCTATGGTGAAGAATGAGCTAAAGAAATACAGATGAACATCTGGGTGACTGCAGGAGCATTGGTCCTCAGGATATGGAGGCTTGAGGAGCTCAGCTAAGGGAGGAGAAGTTTGGGTAAGTTCCCATCTTTCTGGGTGACTTGCAGGATCCCACCTTCCCTGTGGTCTCTCCCCATCCCACACCTCTACCGTGCATTGCCCACATCGCAGGAATCCCTCTGGGACTGCATACTGTGCTGGAAAAGCCCTGCCAGTCCAGGTTTCCCACTTTGAGGGTCTCTGTTCTTGTCTTTGCAAGAAGGGAAAGAACAGACCTTTCCCCTGGCTCTGCCACCATGAGAGAGACCAGTGTGCCCTGGTAGCAATCCTCAGGTACAGAGGTCTTACCTCTTCCGAGTGATGCTGGATTCCATCCCCAAATCCTCCTGCAGCTCCTCCTCTGTCAGTCTCAGGAGAATGTCTCCATCTACCTGGTGGTCCTGCCAAGAGAAATCCAGGCTGGAAAGGTCTCAGGAAAAGCCGCTGGGTGAGATGCTTACACCTCTGCTACAAGATGGGGCAAAAAAGCCCATCCAGGTGTCCCTCCCCCAGCATGCAGCCCTACCAGGAAGCTCTGGCAGTATTTGTTGAATCCGATCTGCTGCAGCCACGTCTGCACCTCACAGGGCTTCCAGTTGGGAACGGTGGGTAGGATGCGCCGAGGAACTTCCTCCCCTATCATGCGCAGCACCTTTTTGGCCAGGGAGGAGGTGGTGCTGCTGGTAGAGTAACACACAACTCTCTTCAGGCTCTGCGTGGCCCCAATCTCACTGAAAATCTGGGGACACAAAGGGAGGAGACATCACAACAACCTGTGCCAGGCCAGCCAAAGACCAGGGTACTCGATGAGCTCTGAGGGGACCCATGGACACCAAGATGCAGTTGCGGAACCTCTTCCCTTTTGCATCTCCTTTCTTCAGGCCAACCTACCCTTTACCTTTGTTTTCTTCTGCCTGGTTTTGATGGCAGCCTCCGTGCAGAGGTAGAAGGCGGCGATGCACTGCGCTTCCAGCCTCGAGCTGTCCAACAAAGGTACCAGCCGCTGCAGGTCCTCCGCCGTCCTCCCTTGGATGTTGTCACTGCTGCCCAGCATCTCACAGGCGAACCGCTCCGGGTCCAACGAGGCGATGAACGGCTCCACCAGAGCCAGCGTCCCCGAGCGCTCCACCTCCTTCTCGATTTCCTTGTTGGTGGCCAGCACCGTGATGGCCAGGCACGCGTGCAGGCGGATTAGTTCATCGTCCCTTGAGAACACCAGGGGGAAAAGCCACTCTGCTGTCCTCTTCTCGATCATCAGGCGCTGGTTGGCCTGCCCGCCGTACATGGCACAGTTGGCTAAGGCCATGGCGCAGTGCCGCAGCACGATGGGGTCTGTCCAGCGGCACCAGTAGAGGATAGCATCCAGGCCTCCATCAGAGATGAGCTGGAAACAGGTCTCCTCGGTGTGTTTGAACATGTGCTCCAGGATACCGGAGACGCTCTGCGCCAGCTGGGGGACGTCCCGCTCCTTGGCTAAGTTCAGGATCACTCCCAGCCCGATCCGAGCGATGCGGTCCCTGCAGGAAGGAGAGGCACAGGCAGGTGAGGGGAGGTGGCCAAGCATGGAATGAGAACAGTGACTGGTGTGCAAACTCCCCCGTGTTTCAGTGGCATTTGTCCCATGACAGCCAGAGGTTTCCCTTTGGGACGTGGCTGCCAGATGTGCTGTCAGGCTGTGGTGCAGCGAGATGTGACAGGCTGGTGTTGGAAGAGCTCGTGATGGGACAGGACAGGGAGTGCATAGGCCAGGACCACCACACCAGAGGCTCTCGTGCTCGAGGTAAGATGTACATAGCAATTAAAAGCATGAGATAGGCTAGAAATAGATCTGCTTTGTCAGCTTTCCTGGGGGTGTGTGAGCTGCTTCGTGTTCAGGGCTGAAAACTCATTTCTCCCTAATCTGTGCTGTCCTCTGGCTGGTCTCCAGATCGGTGCCAAGCCCAGGATGGGGATTTCATACCTGGGTGAGTAACCACACAGACCTGGTCAAAGGGAGGTACAAGAGATGGGGATCTGCCCCTCCTGGGATGGTAACATGGAGCCAGCTTGGAGGAAAGCTGTTTATTTCCACAATCCCATGCTCTCCTAGAAGAGGATGGCAAGAACCTGGGGGCAGATGGATGAGGGCCACCAGCTGCTTCCCAGCCACAGCTGTCCTTGGTAGCCCTGTGCTGCGAGGGTGGTCTTAAAATGACACCTGAATGGGGCTGTGCCATAAAAGCATAGAGTGAAGAAGGGGAAAATGATGCGCTCTCAGTCGCCCTCCCATGAGATGGCCTGGGATGAGGGGGCAGCTCCATCTTTGGCCTTGGGGGATGACCCTTTGGGTGCTGTGATGGAGCTGCTTTGTTCAAAAAACACAAGCCTGGGGTGGATGCCCTGTGCCGTGGTGCCATGAGGGCAGTGATGCATTTGTCCCCCAGGGATGGTGGGGTGAAGGCACGTTGGCCTCTCCGTGCTGGGAGGCAGGAAGAGCATTTCTGGGAAGCCTGGGTCCCGCATGGCTCATGCTGACCTTGGGGTGGGTTTGGCAGCGAACGCTGTGGAGAGCTCTGGGAAAAAACAATAAAATCTCTCAGCCTGGGACTGGCTCCAAGCCTGGACTTGGCCGTGGAGCTGGATGACAAACACAGAGCCACCAGGTCCTCAACTCCCTGGAGACGTGGGATGGGGCCAGGACTGGTCCAGCTCCCTGCTGAGCACAGCCACTGCTGCGCAGGGGTGCTGGGAGAGGTCTCTAAGCCAGAGGTTTGGACCCTCAAAGGGTCCCTGCCATTGCTTGGAGATTGATGGTGGGTCAGGCTGCGGAGGGCAAGGGGCTGGGGGCCCATGGCTACTCTGAGACCCCAGCCCATGAACTGCTCCTGGAGCAGAGGTGGAGAATCCAGCAGCTGCTTTCTCTTGCCAGGAAGCCGAGTGCTGAATTCAGACCAAGCCAGTGATGTTTCCTGGGATTAATTCCACTCTAATGGACTTTCCTGATTTAGCTGTTGCTTCTTTTTGCCTGCCAGTGCGTGCAGCGAGGCCCAGCCTTCGTGTCCGTGACCTTAGGGCAAGACACATCACCCATGAAGCTGGAGCAAAACCTTGGCCAGACTTCCTCGACACCCGCCCAAAGCCCTGTCTGGGGTTGGGCACAGCGAGGGACAGCAGAGCTGGCAGAGCCACGTGTTTGCCAGGAAGGAAAGGTTGATCCTGACCCAGCTCGTGGCAGGTATGTGGGTCCTCTCGGGGACCAGCACGCTCCAGAAGGTGCTGCTGGGGTGTGATGAACCAGACGTGGGGCAGAGCAGAGAGCTTGTCTGTCAGGGGGACCTTGCGGGGCTGCGTTCATGGTGTTTGAAGGGCACTGCATGGGCACTGCTGTGCCTGTAGGTGTGTTGGATGCCATGTGTGCACATGCACCCTCATACGTGAGCTTGTCTGCACACACACACACACACATGCTCCCAGCCCATGTGTGGGGATGCCTCTCACCTGTCCTGGGGTGCAGCACACACATCTCCAGCCTCTGAGCTCGGGTGAGGGGCTCTGAGGGCCACTGACCAGCTGGCCCCCTACTTGAGACCCACTCCAGCCCTGTGTCTGGGAACCAGCTTCATCCTCCTCCTCCTCCTGCTGCTCTAATGGCTAAAGGAGAGTCTTGTCTCGTGAGATGCTCTGGTCCAGCCAAACTGACCCAGCTCAACCACAAAGGGTGTCTTGTCTGGGTGGCCCCAGGCTGAAGGTGGCTCATGAGGACACCCCAATCCTCACCAGCATCCCGTGAGCTGGGGCTGGTCCTTCTCCATCCAGCTGGGGAGGGAGGCCAGGTCATGCCATTGCCAGGGTGTGCCCTGTGCAAGTGCTGGGGGGGGGCGTGTGGTGTTGAGCTGAGGGGGTTTGATGCATCGGGACCACCCATAGCAGGGAAATTTGGGGGATGTGGGTAGGATGGGTGGAGGAAATCCCTGCTCGGGGTGGCAGGCGAGCCTGCGGAGGGTAGGGCTGTGCCAGGGAGAGCCGGGGGGGGGTCTCTTTGCAGACTCACCTGTTTTCTGCCACCAGGATCTGCTCCAGGAGTTTTCCTGCCTGACACTTGGTCTCCAGCTCCGCTGTGTACAGCAGGTTCAGCAGTAGGTCCAGGCCCCCCTCCAGGCGGATCACGTCGCACAGCACTTTGGCCACGTCCCTCCCCACCGTGGGCATCCCCCAGGCTTCCTCCACCAGCTGGAAGATCTCAGTGATGGCCTTCCTCAGCTCCACCGGGCTGGATGCCTGCTTGGCACGGGCGATGGTCCGGTGCAGGGCGGGCAGAATCCGGTCCAGGGCTGCCCTCACATCCATGTTCACCCCGGGGGAGACCTTCTGGTGCTCCCTGGAGCTGCCCCCGCCTGCCCAGCTCCCTGCCTGGCTCACACACTCCGGCACCACCAGCCTCTCTGCACCCGCCATGGCGAAGAACCGGCAGAGTTTATAGAGGGAGACGAGCAGGGTGAGCACCATCGGCATCTGCTACCACAGCATCCTCGGTCACCCGCCCGCCAGGAGCACCCGGGTAGGGCCACCACGCTCCTTGGGGGGGGACCTGAGGTAGCCAGAGGGGGGATGGAGCTGGCCCAGGGTCCAGTCGCAGGGCTGGGCTGCCGGTTCCCTCTCCCCTCCCTATCCTGCCGGGATGCGGAACTGGAAGCGGTGGCAGGAGCCGCCTTCCCAGAGCCAGGCTCAGCATCTCGGGTCCTCAGGGGCTGATGTCACCCCGCGCAGGCGCCGCCTCTCCAAGGAGGGGCTCATCTCTGGGCAGCAGCATCCCCCTCCTCGCTGCAGATGCTCTGGCATCCCCCCAGACCCCTCCTTCCACAGCCCTCCACCTGCCCAGCCTGAGCTGGGGCTTGTCCTTCTGTCCCCATGGCCCCTGTCCCCTGCTCTATGGCCTTCTGTCCCCCTGTGGTCATCTCCACAGCAGGCAGGGACCCCTGCTCTGTGAGCGGTGAAAGGGGCAGAGGGGCCAGCCACGGTGGTGGCCGTGGTCACGGTGTGGTTGTGGCCATCCTGGCACTGCATTTTGAACCCATTTGGTATCAGTGCAGGGGGGTAAACAGCTCCTTTTGCATAGTGGAAATTCAGAGCAGCTCTTCTGGGTGGGCTCAGTATTTGCATGATAAAAGAGCGAGCAGAGGCAGCCTGGGCCCCTTTTATTTTGTTTTTTTCAGGTCAGACGTGCTCAGGGCAGAAATGCTTTGGACACTTCTTGCCTGTGTTGGGAGGAGCAGCTTAAATCCTTGGCTCCCAAACCAGGTTGTTGCCAGCTCAGACTGAGACTTAAATTCAAGTTGATGTTTTGATGCCACAGAGGCGTTTTTAATCCTCTCTGAATCCACTACGCAGGGACAGACAGAGGAAAGGAACATTATCTCGGAGTGAAGGACGGTAAACAAGGCAACCCAAGCAGCCCGGTACTGCAGGAGAGGCTCAGCAGAGAACCAGTAAGGATTTTCCTGATAAATTATTATTAACTGGGGGTAACGATTCGGGCTGTTGTGATATAAAACAGGGGTTTGCTACCTCGGAGGAGGCTGCTGCTTGTGGCAGGCAGAATTCAAACCATTCCCTTAAGCTTGTCCTGACAAGCCCATAGAGCTTTGCTTTGCTTTGCTTTGCTTTTTGAAAGTGATTTCCAGCACCAGCAGCCTGGGCTCTGTGAATGACAGGGATTCCCAGCCCGGCCCTGGGGGATCAGCTCCATCTCCAGAGCTCTCCTTGCTGGGAGAGCTCAGCCCTTGGCTGCAAGGGCTCCCCAGGGTCCCTTTAACCAAACCAGCCCCTCTCCTGGGGTCTCCTCCTGCCATGCTTTGAGCACAGCAGCCAGGGAAGGGCTCACCAAGCCTTGCTGGTGCTTGGGAGCCTGGAGAGCAGCAGGAGGGAGCTTTGTCTCAGCTGATCAGCAAAAGCAGCTCAGATACTGCCCAGCCCTTCTCTCCCCGCAGCCTCCCCACCAGCCTGAGCCCTCTCAGGGTGCTTGTCCCCCAGGCTCGATTCAACAGGGATGGGATGAAGCTTTAGGGCAATGCTGGGCTGGGGTTCGCACCCGGGGACAACGCCGTCCCCACCATAGCTGAGCCTAGGGGGCAAGGAGGGGGGTGATGGGGGCTGCAGGAGAAGTCCTGCCCCAACAGCCCACGTCTGGTGGCTTCCCTTGGCTCACCAGGACTTTCCAGGTAGAAATGCCTTTCGCAACACCAGATAAAAGCTTTTTCCAGCAAGGGTGGGAGCAGCCGATGCCGGGAACTGCCTGTGTCTGAGCTGGCAGAGGTGGGGCCCCTGGAGAAGAGAGGGCACCCTGCTTGGGTTTTCCTCCCCTTAAATCTTCCATCACTTCTTAACGCTCAGAGTGGTGCTGCTGTCCTTCCCCAGGGCCAGGACAGACCCCACGGAGCTCCTGTCCCAGCAGTGCTGTGACAGTGGAGGCAACTGAAGGCGGTATCTCTGTAGCCTCCTGTGTGTTTGCTCCTTGCCCCTGATTAAATAAACATCCCGGAGTTATCAGGAGCTGCCAAAAGAGCTGAGTTGACATTAATTAGTAACCAAAAAGATTGGTCAGAAAGGGAATGATGGGAGCAAAATACACAGGCTTTTGTTTGCCTACTGCAGTGAAAGTGCAGAGGGCTTCCCGCTCTCCCCCCCTCCCTCCCGGCTGCTCACCTCTGGCCCCCGCTCCCTGGTCCCTGTCCACAGGGGTGGCACCTGCCCTGTCCCCAGCCTCCATGCCTTGGGGGTCCCCAGGTCTGCTCCCAGCCTTGCTGACATCGAGAAAGTTGAAATCCCAAGAGCAAGTCCTCCCAAACAGTGATGTTTGGGGCAAGCATGAGCCCAGGGCTTTTCCCTTTGCCCGCTGAGCACTGGTCCTTTGTCCCCTCTGGTTTGGGCTTTTGTCTTGCCAAGACCAGACTGGGAAACAGGCTCCCCTCGAGATGGAGGCTGTGAGCTGTAATACCATGAGGTTTCACTATATGAAATTAGTGTGGCAGGACCTCAAAACTGGTTCCAGGCTCTGGCTTGCTGCCCTCCCTGCTCTCTGAACTGGTGCCTAACACACACCCTGGCCGGGAAGGCGCTGGCAGCAAAGTCATGGCCAGTGGCTCTTGGAGATGCCTGGGGAACCCTGTGTCCCCCCACCCCCAAAACGCACCCAGCTCGGTGTGGGCTGTGGGGGATGCTGGGTGGGTGACCGTCCCTGCCCATTTTCCCTCTGCTCCGACCTTGGCCTGTTTGTTTTCTCTCACCGGGGCAGGCTGAGCAAACAGTGGATGCCGGGGTCCCGGCCGCAGCCACGCTCCAGCCCGCACAGTCGCAGGAGGGCTGCGCTCCCGGCCACCCAGGATGAGGCTGCTCTTCCCTGCCCTCCTACTAGCCCTGCTTGCCACCGCCCGAGCTGCTGAAGGTGAGCCCGAGCTGGCCAGTCCCCCATCGGGTGCTTCCCGCTGGTAGCCAGGATGGGGACGGAGGGAGTGCGGCTCCTGGGCTGATAGAGGGGCTGGGGAGCCTGGGCAGGGTGGGGAGGGGACCAGATGGTGGCCACGGCCACATTGGCTACACCTCGCAGTGTGGGGAGAAGTCAGGCAGGCAGCACAGGGTATCGGTGGTCCCTGGGCAAATCCCTGGCCATGGGCTGCCAACACGGAGCTGGGACCCCAGTACAGCCTGGTCCTTGGCTTCCATCCCAGCAGGACCTGGGTGGGAGTGGGGAGAGGTCCCGCTGTAGCCCCAGGGCTGGGGGTACCCGTGGGGGTATCCCCTCCATCTGGGCTGTGACCACGTTTGCTTTCACCCCCAGGGTTGGGCTGTGGGGGGACACACTGGCGCCACTGCCCACCCCACGTTACTCCTCCTGCCCTGACCGTTGGCTCTTGCAGACTCCTGTGAGGGCCGGTGTGAAGATGGCTTCGACGCGCGGCGCAAGTGCCAGTGCGACACCCTCTGCGTGTACTACCAGAGCTGCTGCAGTGACTACTCCACTGTCTGCAAAGCCAAAGGTACTCAGCTGGGGCAGGGGCTGCCACGGGGCTCGGAGGGGTCCGTGCTGGGCCAGCTCTGCAGCCACCCGTGTCCTCAGGGTAAAGGCAGTGCCAGGATTTGGTGCCCAGGGTGCTGCAACACCAGGGGCTTCTGGCAGCTGGCTCACTGCTGCCTGCAGCGTAGGGTCCTGGGGGTCCCTGCAGATCTGTGCTCCCGCACCCAGATCCTGTGGGAGATGCCCAGGGCTCCCAGGAACCAACCTGCTCCTTCCCACAGTGACCCGGGGAGACGTGTTCGCCTTGCCAGAGGATGACTACCTTGACTACAACCTCACCATCGACTTCGGTACGCCAGCGGGCACCGAGGTGCCCCCCACAGAAGATCCCCCGACCCTGCTGACGGTGCAGCCCACGCTGGAGACCAAGCCAGAACCCGGGGTGACGCTGCCAGAGCTGCCTGTGGAGGTGCTGCCCAGCACCACGCCAGATACGGCTGGAGAGACGGACCCCGCAGGGCCACCCGAGGAGCTGTGCAGCAGGAAACCTTTCGATGCCTTCACTGACCTGAAGAACGGTTCCATTTATGCTTTCCGAGGTACCTTGGAGACCTTTCCTGGGCACAGGGGACACACCGGTGGCTGTGGTCCCTCCTGCCACTCCTACTTTCCCTCTCTCCCCAGGGAAGTACTTCTACGAGCTGGACGAGACGAGCGTGCGGCCCGGCTACCCCAAGCTCATCAGCGATGTCTGGGGCATCGAGGGTCCCATCGACGCCGCCTTCACCCGCATCAACTGCCAGGGCAAGACTTACCTCTTCAAGGTGGGCAGGAGCCTGGATGCAGGGCTGGGGGTGCTCCCGCGGTGGCTGGCACAGCCCTCCCAAACCCACCCTGCCCTCCTCCACGCATCCATGCACACAGTTGCTGCTGGATATCCCCAAATCCCTGTGGCTGTCAGGCAGCCACAGCCCCACCATGGGGGGCATGAGCCGTGCCTGGGGGATGCTGCTCCAGCTCCAGCATGGGGGGGATGCTGCTTCCCCTGAGCAGAGCCATGCCTGGGGGATGCTGCATCCAGCCCCCTTACCCCTGCTCTGTCTCACACCCCCCAGGGCAGCCAGTATTGGCGTTTTGATGATGGAGTGCTGGACACCGGGTACCCACGCGACATCTCTGAGGGCTTCGAAGGCATCCCCAACAACGTCGACGCGGCCTTCGCCCTCCCCGCACACAGCTACAACGGCAATGAGAGAGTCTATTTCTTCAAGGGTAAGGGCAGAGCCTGGTACCATGGCCATGGGCAGGACAACCCTCTACCCACTGCTCCCCCCGCCCCCCGAGTTCGTGTCCCCCACTAATGCCCTGTGTATCCTCTCCTAGACAAGTACTACTGGTCCTATGACTTCGCCCACCAGCCCACGCAGGCCGACTGTGAGAAGTCCTCCCCCTCGGCCGTGTTCAACCACTACGCCTTCATGAACCGTGACAGCTGGGAGGACGTCTTCCAGCTCCTCTTCGGCAGCAGGATGCGTAAGGACTGGGCCAGCCCCGGGGGAAAGGGCTGCCATGTGCCAATATAGCCCACACTGATGGGGTGCAGGCACCCAGGGAGGAAGGAGCGATGCCCGGGAGTTCCAGGGTGGCTGGATGAGCCGCCGTGCCAGGCAGGAGCCCAGGTTATGAACAGGAAGCCCCCCAGGTCACAGCTACATCTCCCACAGCATCCCAAATCCCACCCCTCCCCGTCATGCCCCACACTATCGAGCCTGTCACCAGCCACCTCACACCACAGCGTCGCTGCTGGGGACTGTTTATTCCCACTGGAGCTGGAGATGCCATAGGAAAACCCCAGCCCTGGGCAAGAGGAATGACAGATGGAGACAGAGGAGAAGGGGGGGTTGGCAGCACAGGGCTGATCCCAGTCACGGCGGGGTGAAGGGCTGCTCCCACCTCTGCCCCGTGTCCCTGTCACTCATCCCATTCAGGCTGGGATCCTTTGGAGCGTCCCTGTGGGTCTGGGAGCAGATGCTGGGGGGCTGTGTGTGGGGCTGGGCTCTGCTCACCCCCATACGTTGCTGCCCCTCTAACTTGCCCTCTGTGTCTCCGCCAGCCGGGGCGAGCAGCCCGCGGTACATCAGCAGGGACTGGCGGGGGGTGCCCAGCCGGCTGGATGCCGCCATGGCCGGCAGGATCTACGTGGCCTCCCAGAAGCCCCGGAGGAGGAAGTCTCGTCGCCAGCGCAAGAGGTACAAGAGTCACCGGTCAATGAATTTGGGTTTCTGGAGCTGGCTGCACAACGACTCCGAGTCCGCGGGCATCGAAAGTGACTGGCTGTCGGGCTCCCAGTGTGAGACCCTCCAGAGCGTCTACTTCTTTGTAGGAGGTGAGTTTGGGGTGGTAGGATCTGGGAGAGACACGGGACCAGGGCTACCAGGGCAGGGGGAGACCTATTCCCACTCTGTGATGTCCCCGAGCTCTGGGACACGGTGGGAAGGTGCCCAGGGCTGGCAGCTCCCCACAGCTCTGCCCCATGGGGAGTCCTGACAGCCATCTCCCTTCCTCCCAGACAAATACTACCGCGTCAACCTGCGCACCAAGCGCGTGGACCTGGTGCAGCCCCGCTACCCACGCTCCATCGCCCAGTACTGGCTGGACTGCCCACAGCCCGGGGAGGAGACCACCTGAGATGGGGCCCCCCCCAGCAGCCACCCAGCAGCACAGCCCCCAGCTAAAGAGAAATAAACTGTGAGTGCCGTGCAGGCTGGAGAACATCATCTGGCTGTCCGTCCATCCATCCATCCTGTCCTTGTAGTCCAAGATCCCTGTGCCTCCGAGGGCTGGGGTCGTCCCCCCCAGGTGTAATAACTGTGTGTGGGCTGTGCCAGGTCCCCGCTGCTGGCCCCCTCCACGGCGTGGCTACTCAGATCTGCTCTGCCAGCCAGTCGGGTGCCTCTTCCCACTGGAGGAGAGGGATGGTGCCGGCAGCTGCCAGCCGGGAGCGGTGGGGTCAGGTCTCCAGCAGCCCCGGGATCAGGTCCACAGCCTCAGGGTGGGTGCCCATCCCCGAGGGACCCTATCCGAGGCACTGCCTGGCATCCCCCCCTGCTGCCCTGCTCACCTCTTGGCTCCGGCAATCCCGGCCACGGCGGTGCCGAAGGGATGACCCTTCCCTCGGGGCTGGGACATCTCTCAGGACCTGGCAGCTCTCGGGGGGGTGGGTGGCGCTGGGACGAGCTCTTGCCCCGGCTCCTGCCGTGAGGACACATGAACAAGCCCCGACCCACTGCCCCCATCACCCCCTGTCACCCTAAGGGTTTCCTGATGCCCAGGGGGTGTCCTCAGGCCCCAGCTCTCACCTCTTCCCCTGGTGGGGCTGGAGGTGCCCGGGGAGCTGACAGGAGCCAGGCAGAGCCATGTCCTCCTGGCCAGGTGGCAGGATGCTGGTGCTTCCCTCAGGGGGGAACGGCTGGGGCACGGGGGGCCCTGGCAGCACCTGGGGAGCGAGCAGAGTGGTCAGGCTGCTGTGTCACACTGTGTCACCCCCCTCCAAAGAGACCCATGGGGCCATACCTGGGACATGATGGCATCAGCCAGCCCGGGGCAGCACTGGGGGCACCCTGGGCAACTGGGGCGGCCGGGGGCAGGAGGCAGCTTCTGCAAGAAGGGACAGCAGCAGGTGGGTGGTCTGTGCACCCCCACCCTGCCATGGGCACAGCCCCACATGAGGATGCCCGTGGAGCCTGGGGCTGCCTGTGCTCACCGGCAGCCGGGGGCCGGAGGTGGGTGTCATGTCGGGCTGCCGGAGCCTCGCAGAGTGGCCGGGGGGGACACGGGGGGCACAAGCACTCCGGAGCAGGGGGTGGCTGTCACAGGAGCTGCGGGTGGCTCTGCGGGATGGGCCGGCTGGGATGTCACCACTGAGGTCTGGGGACGGCCGGGGCTGCCTGGGGAGCAGGGAAGGAGCAGGGTAGGGCATTGGCAGCCTCCGGTGAACCTCCAAGCCCCAGGAGGTCCCCAGAGAAGCTGGCTGACACAGGGTACCACCCATCTGGGGGTCTGGTTGCCCTGCTGATCCCTTGAGCCCCTGCTCATGGGTCCTGCACGCTCCTCCCGTACCTCAGCTGCTCATTCTCCACCACGAAGTCCCGCAGGAGGCCATAGAGGCTGGGCCAGGCTGGGGCTCCCTCCGATGGGAGCTGCCTTTCAAGAGGGGAGCGACGCAGCCCTGCAGGGCCATACCTGCCTCCCCAGCCCGGCCATGCCCCCACCCTCGGGTCCCCACCTGGGACCTCCGTGCTCCTCGTTGGCACCATGGGCAGGCATAACTGTTGCCGCAGGGAGAGGTTTTCCAGCTGCAGGGCATGGATTTCTTCCGCCAAGGTTTGCAGCAGCTTCTCCCGGGACACCTGGGAGCACAAGGGGGTGGCTCAAGGTGGGGGTCCCAGCAAAGGGGCAGAGGACCCTGCCTGCAGACCCTGCCTCCTCTACCTTGTTGGCCAGGGGTCTGGTGGTGACCCTCCGGGCCCGGCTGGCATAGTGCAGCGTGCTCAGCGTCTCCGAGAGGCAGCGGGAGGAAGGGGAGATGCAGGCGACCTGCCGACGAGGAAGAGCCTCAGGTGAGCTGTCAGCCAGGGCATCCTCCTCCAGCCTTCCCCTCCACGGGGTGAGAGCCCAGCCCCCTGTGGCTTCATGGACCTCTGCCCAGCCTCCTCCATGCACGTACCATCAGGGTGATGCCTGAGCCGCCCAGGGAGCGGGCCAGCAGCCGGGTGAGCTTGCTGTCCCGGTAGGGGATGTGCGTCCGCTTCCCTCGGGGTTTGGCCAACAGAGAGATGCAGTGTCCTGCCAGAGGATGAGCCACAGAGCGTTCACCAGGGCTCTGACAGGGACCAGCAGCTCATGGTCCCATGGTGGTGGTGGGGGGGAACCCCGCTCTTACCCAGTGCCAGGAGGCTGCGGTTGATGTTGTTGGCCTCCACGGAGAGCTCCCCGCTGGAGCCGGTCTCCTTCACCCGCTCGCTGCCGGCCAGGTCCACGAAGCACAGCGAGCCCTGCTTGCTGGGGCAGGCGCTGGGCTGGGGGACCAAGGTTTTGGGGGGGAGTGATGCTCTGCCCCCCCTTGTCTCTTGCCTGTGGCCCAAAGCAGTGCCCCAACCCCTGGGTCTGGGATAAGGCTCCCTTATCCCTTAAGGCTCCCCAGCCCCACCAAGGCATCCTTGGGGAGAAGGAGGTGACACCCCCCACCCTGGGTGCTGTTTGCACCCCCATGAAGATCTCCCCCATCCCAAGCCGACCCCCCGTGTGCCCGGAGCAGGACGCGTGCTCACAGCCCGGCTGCGGATGTGGATGGTCAGAAGAGCGTGGCTGCGGCTCGAGTGCCTGTTGAGGGCGTGCGCTGAGGTCCGTCTCCTCTGGGATCCTGCCAGTGGGGAGGGAAGGGAGGGAATGAGAGCTGCAGGGGGGCACAATGCCCCACAGCCCAGCACAGCACCCACTGCCCACCCCCCACCAAGCGTGAACCTGCCCGGGCTCTGCAGCAGGATGGGGAGATGTCCCACTTGGCTGCCAGTGGAGCCCCACCAGCCCTGGGGACAGCTCTGCGGGGGGCTGAGAACCCCCACACCAGGTCCAGCACCCCCTGAACATGCCCCCCCATGGCCCCAGCCCTGTGCCCGCGGCTCAGCACCTTGCAGGAGCAGGTCAGCGATGGCCTCCAGGCTCTCAAAGTCCACACTGAGCTGGTTCTCCACGTAGAAGCCGCGGGTTTTGCTCCACCGCAGGGGCAGGGCACAGGGTGGCCCCGGGCTCAGCAGGTCCCGGACCTGGGGGGGGATACGGTGGAGGGGAGGCACAAGGGGAACGGGGGCACGGGGAGCCAGCGGGGCCTGGCTTGGTGGCTGGGGGGGCTTTTACCTGCTCGTTGTAGATCTCCAGGTAGGAGGCACTGAGAGCCAGGTCAGAGCCGCGGCTCCGGCTCTGCTCCAGGAGGCAGGCGAAGGATCTCTGCATCAGCCCCAGCAGCCCCGGGGCCACCGGCTGGGTCTGGCTCTGCAGAGATGCCAAGAGGATGAAGAGTCACGTCGCTTTGGCACCCACCTCCTCTCACCACCCCAGAGCCCCTGACTGGGTGAGAAGAGCCTGTCCCACCATCAGGATCAGGTCAGGCAGCTTTGTACCTGGGGGAGGGGTCCCATCAAGGTGTAGGTCTTCCCCGAGCCGGTCTGCCCGAAGGCAAAGACGGTGCAGGAGAAGCTGGGGAAGATGCTGAGCCTCAGGCAGGGCCGCAGGCGGTGGCACTGGGATGCCATCTCCTGGCACGGCTCTGGCAATGCAGACCCACCAGTGGGGCCTGGGTGGGTACAGTGGGGTGAGCTGGAGGGCTGGGGTCCGCGGGGGGGCTCACCAGGACTCACCCATCGATCGCCAGCTCCACCAGCTGCTTCATCCCACTGCCTTCGAACACGGCCTCCTGCGAGGCTCCGGCGTCGAACACGGCACTGAACCCGAAGGTGGCATCGTGCCTGGCTGCGTTCACCTGGGTGCAGGGGCGGTGGTGGCTCAGGGGGTGCCACAGCCCCCCTAGACCCCAGTGGGGAGGTGGCACTTACGTGGACAGTGCCGTCGCCGACGCTGTGCACAACCCGCCGGTCACCTCGCCGTGTCTCCGTGCAGGTCAGTGGACGGACCCTAAAGGCAGGGAGGGGACGGGGACACAGAGGTGCCACCCCACGGGGACCCCAGGGAGCCCCACAGTGCCCCTGCCCTGGGCAGGAGTGATGCTGGTCCCCACCATGTCCCCAAGTCCTTTGTGTGTCCCCCCCCTTACCTCAGCACCACTCTCAGACGCGTCTCTCTGCCCACCACGGGGACCTCCTGCTCCTCTCCGGGGTTCCTTTGGGGAACAGATGGCAGGGTAGGGTGGTGGGTACCCCCGGCTGGGGGACCTGCCCATGGGCACCCCAGGAACCGGGGCAGAGGGGCCCATGGTCACGCTGTGCTCACACCGTCCTCCCGTCCCCGCTGTGTCCCAGGGCCTGGCAGGGGCCAGGGTGCAACATCCCCCCACCACGTCCCCACAGAGGGACTGCCCTGTCCCGTCCCCACCCCCCCAGCCTTTCTGGGGTGCCAGCCACCCCGCTGGCTGTGTCAGCCAGGGAGGGACAGTGGCGGTCACTCCCCAGGCCCTGCCTGCTCCAGGACAGGGTACCCTCCGTCCCCTCGCCGACTTACGGTCTCTCCTGTCCCCGTGGGACCGTTTTTGGCCGTGGGGCTGGCTGGGGCTCCCAGCCCCTCTCCCCCTCCGCTGCCATTCGCCCCCCCCCCC